GGCGAGGTCCTCCAATGTACAGCCGTCCAGCGCAAATGTATGGCTCGACTTGGGCGTGACGATGATCTCCGCCGTGGGTGGCAGCTCCAGCGAGCTGAAGATGCAGACGTCCTCCGGGAGGAACCCACTGAGGTAGAAGTGCTTTATCTTGTGCAACCGGACGGACGGCGTCGAGACGAAGGCCTCCGAATAGAGAATGGTTTCATGTAGATGATCGCGCGTCCATGTGTATTCGAACCTCGTCAGCGAGGTCAAAGCGCCGAGCGTGCGCGCCAGCTCGGCACAGCTGCCCCACGGCATCACGTTCTCGAGTGCGAGCGTTTCGAGCGAGGACGATAACGAATGCAGAGGCGAGCCCAGCTCGCAGCATGAGATTGCGATCCTCTTCAGACGGCGGGTGGCGATCTCGCGGCCTATGATTCCCCTGTTGAGTATGAACCGGGTGTGATCGTCATCGGCCGACAGATGGATCTGGAGCTCTTCCAGCATGGGCAGAGGACAGTGTTGTGGAGATAGTAGCCCGATGGCGACGGCCAGAAAAGCCGGTGCGTAAGAGCTCGTCCGCTGGTCCCGGAAATCGATAATGATGACGCGGGCGCGAGAGTAGGCGCGGACAATGGCGGGGTAGGCTGGATGTCGTTTAAGGAAGGCGGTCCGCCGGTTTATGATGATCTCGACGGTTTGGGAATGACAACGGGCGAGGCAGAGCTTTGTCCAGTATAGATGCGGGCGAAGGATAGAGGACCATAGTTGTTGGCACGAGAGGGCGGCGGCTCTCCAGGTGCGACAGACGTGCGAGAGGTAGGTGCACAGCGGTGGATCGCGCAGGGCGGGATCGCAGCCATGCAGTACTTTTGTTAAGAGGAAGATCCTGACGAGGATTTCAAGCGGCAACTTCCGTACAGCCGGTACCGCCTGCATGTACCAAGGCACGTGCGGGTAAGTAGACTGGGCGGCGCTGTGAGCGACGATGGCACTGATGTAGAAGGTCGTGGCACGCACAAACATATTTCTGCGTTGGATATACGTTCCAATCAGCTTGTATTCGCGTCGGGGAGTACAGCGTCGAGTGGTGGCGGCGAGGGTGACAGTGGCCGACAGAAGGGCAGATAAATTCGAGTTTATACTTCGAGCATTGCCATTCGCTTTGTGGTACTTCCCATATCACCTACACACTGGCACATTGGAAAGGCAGACTTCATACAAAGACAAAATCGGGGAAATGAAGTGGTATAGGGCCATGGTGATGGTCAAGAGCCAACAATTGAACAAACGCGGCGCGTGATGTTCGCGCGCTCTCCACACCTTGACGCGAACCTCCATGGTCCATTCTATCTATTGGAATATTCCAGCTTGCCAGTATGCCCAGACTATGATGATATGATGCCTCACCCGCAAAAGCTTGCGGGTAGTAGGTCGTCTTGATCTTGCTTTCGCAGTCGAACTATGGCTCTACTCTTAGCCTCGCCACAAGACTTGCGTGCCGATGTCCTCAGAATGAACACCAGACGAATCCTGTTCGAAGCAGACTGCTCATGCGCTCACCTATCCGGTGCGGGATAACGTACGCAGCCTCGGAACAGCTGCATAGTACCACGAATGCAGGCATGCTGCTCCCAGGACCTGATATGGCCATAGCACGCCATCCGGGATGTCTTCATTGACAGGAGAGCGGCTTCCCCAGCTCTACATCGAAAGTGCGACGTCGGGATACGCGCCCGATGCTCACGACAACCTATAAACGTTAAACAACGCTATCCACCTCCACGCCAGTCTCCCTCCACACCGTCCTCCTCGTGCATCACAATGCCCACCCCGCCCGCGTCCAAACGCCCGAACTTCCTCGTCATCGTCGCCGACGACCTCGGCTTCTCCGACCTCGGCTGCTTCGGCGGCGAGATAAACACGCCGAATATCGACGCGCTCGCGTCCCGTAACAACAGTCTGCGCTTCACCGACTTCCACGCCGCGGCCGCGTGCTCGCCCACGCGCGCCATGCTCCTGACCGGGACGGACAACCACATCGCCGGGCTGGGCAACCTCATTGAGTGGACGAACAGATCTCGACCGGGCACTAAGGGCGAACGTTTCGATACGGCGCCGCAGAGAGGGATGCCGGGGTACGAGGGCTATTTGAACGAGAGGGTCGTCACGGTGTCGGAGGTGTTGAGGGACGAGGGGTACGAGACGCTTATGGCGGGCAAGTGGCATCTCGGTCTTACGCCCGAGCGCTCGCCGAAGGCGCGCGGGTTCGAGCGGAGCTTTGCGCATCTTCCTGCATGTGCGTGCTCTCTTTCTCCAGATCGTGCTCTCTGCAACATGGCTGACGAACGGACGCAGGCTCCAACCACTACGGCTTGGAGCCGCAGCTCGAGCACGCCGACACGCTCCCGCCCAACATGTCGATGTCCTTCATCGCGCTCCACTCCGAAGACGGCCGGTACGTCAAGAGGCTGCCCGCGGGGTGGTACTCCTCCGACGGCTACGGCGACAAGATGGTCCAGTACCTCTCTGACCGCCAATCCCGCGCCGAGACGCGGCCGTTCTTCGCCTACCTGCCTTTCACCGCGCCGCACTGGCCTCTGCAGGCGCCGAAAGAGCTTGTCGAGAAGTATAAGGGCGTGTACGATGAAGGCCCGGATGTGCTGCGCGAGAAGCGGTTGGAGAGGTTGAAGGAGCTTGGGATGGTGCCGCGGGATGTGAAGCCACATCCGGTCGTTGCGGATGAGGTTCGGGAGTGGGGGAGCTGAGTGCGGAGGAGAGAGGTGTGTTTATCTTGTCGAGCGATGGCCGCGACTGAGCTTGTGCGCATTGGCTGATGCATTGCGCAGCGAAGTCGTGTCGCGCGATGGAAGTCTACGCGGCGATGGTCGAGTGCATCGATATCAACGTCGGCAAAGTCATCGCGCACCTCAAGCGCACGGGCGAGTACGACGACACGTTCATATGCTTCATGTCCGACAACGGCGCAGAGGGCGCGGCGTACGAGGTGCGTCCAGTCACATTCCAAAATCACACTCCAAATTGAATCTAATCTAATCTAATCATCATCCAATCCAACATCGATCAAACAGGCCTACCCAATAATCCAATCAACAATGCTCGCCCACCTCCGCAAATACTACAACAACGCCCTCGAGAACCTCGGCGCACCAAACTCGTTCATATGGTACGGCCCGCGCTGGGCCCAGGCCGCCACCGCACCCGCGCGGCTGTACAAGATGTACACGACCGAGGGCGGCGTGCGCGTGCCGTTCCTCGCCAAGTTTCCCCGGTCGCACCCGCTCGCGCCGTCTCTTTCTCGCGCAAGTGGAAAAAGTGGGATCACGGACGAGTTTGCGACGGTCATGGACCTGATGCCGAGTCTGCTGGACATGGCCGGCGCGCCGCACCCCACGCCGTCCTACCGCGGCCGCGCAGTCGTTCCTATGCGCGGATCGTCGTTCGTGCCGTTTGCGACGGGTACTTCGCCACGCATACACGAGCAGGACCATGTCACGGGCTGGGAAATGGCCGGGCGCGCCGCGCTGCGCAAGGGGCCCTTCAAAATCGTATTCCTCCCCAAGCCCAAAGGCACGGAAAAGTGGCAGCTGTACGACCTCTCGTCCGACCCGGGCGAAACTACCGATCTAGCGAATGAGGAGGAGTATGCAGGGAAGATGGAGGAGCTGTTGGGGCATTGGGAGGAATATGTGCTCGAGACGGGCGTCGTGCCGCTGGCGCCGGAGCTGGGGGAGTGGTTGAGGGGGACGGAGGAGCAGATGAGGGAGGATGTGTGGATGGAGTATAGGTATTGGGAGGAGGGGGCGAGGGAGGAGCCGGAGAGGTTTTGGAGGAGGCCGTGGAGGAGGGCTGGGGGCGAGGTGTAGAGTCCAAGACGTCGTTTGTTGGTAGAGTCGAACTCAGAGACTGATTAACGTTTTGATTATGTGTGTCCCGTAGTTTGGTTCTTGATTAGGCTTGTGTCCTTCTGGAGACGGAGTGCATGACGACATGATATAAGATAGTCATGTATACAGATGGCAAGAGCTTGGTATGCAGCCAGTCTCGATCATTCCAAGGTGTTGCAGCAGACCACGACAGACTCCAAAGGCGCGAGGCGGGGAGCTACATCCGAGTCCTCCCCGAGTCTCATACTTATCACGTACGGGCCAGCAGCATACGTCAGCTCGCCGGCTTATCAAAATTACCTCTTTACCGGCCACCAAGTATACCCTCTCATACCAGACTTAATCCATACAGCAGAGGATTACTTAAGACCTTACAGAAGCCTCGGAAAACGCTTGGGCTGTCGACCGCGTGAGGCTGTCGAGCGTGGCACAGTAATCTGCGCCCATATCCACCCACAAGCGCTGACGCCATCCGAGCCATCAATCGCGCCAGTGGCACCTATATTGGGCGGGGCGCGTGGACAGGCAGCTGTACTTACTTCGGAGAACATACGTGGGCACCGGTACGAACACGCACGCTCGCCTTGTGGTATACTTCCTCATTGACTACGTGTTTCCGAGACGCAAGATGGATAGGACATGCAATAATGCAACAATAATGTGATTGAATGGTTGTTGTGGCATAAGGCCATGGTGGTGGTCAAGAGCTAACAGCAGCTCCGTTCATCGCGCCGACAACACACGCGGCGCGCGGTGTTCACGCGCTCTCACCATCTTGCCAACGCGAACCTTCACGGCCAAGGCTTGGATGCTGCCAATCCTGATCGTACCGCGAATCACTATGCCTCTGCAGAAGCCTACGATGTGATAACATGCTCTGCGTCTCCGGCAGACGGACAGCGTATACGCGAGTCGTCGTTCGAACGCGCGCTGGTCGTGCTTCGAGAGGTGATACGGTTCGGGCTCTGAGACTTGCAGGTTGTGATCTACGAGTTTGTATTGCGCTGCGCGCTACTTGTAGCTGAGCAGGCTATGTATGGTTGCCTTACCGGCACGCGACGAGTCAGCCACCACTCGAGTCGGATCGTCGTTCCTCCGGCGTCAGCGTCCAGACCCGCAACTCCTCTTCGCAGAGCAAGGGTGCTTTCTACAGCCTAGAAGCTATCCACGCGTCACAGGCTAGTGCATGTTTTGATATTCAGTCCGACTCGCGAGAGTCATCGCTGGGAGATCGTGCATACCTATATCGTGAGGGTTGCAAGTCGACAACTAAGCCGGGACCCATCTTACGGGATACTGACTGACTGGCGCTCCGTGCCTCTTCCCTACGTCGGCTTGAAAACAACTCAAAGAACATGGCAAGCATTCACTACCAGTACCCTCCTCGCGACGCCCGAATACAGAATCAGATCGCACTCGAACGCGAACTTCACCGACGCGGGTCCCGCCAAGCCGCACGCAGCATCAGATACACCACACAGTACCTGGATCTCACATCTATCTCACATCCAAATACAGGTATGCTCGATCCAGTTCTGCCCAATTCCGCTCCAGTACCACCTAATGCCGCTCCAGTGCCTGGCAGAGCCATAGCACGCCATCCGGGACTTCGTCCTCGAGCGAGTAAAGCCGCTGCCGATGTCAGATTTGAAGGTTGATGGACACGGTGGTACATGCGGCGCCGATCTTCGCTGGATCTGATCGGTTAGGTGTGCTGCTACGAACAGAGATTGGGCCGCACGCCTGGAACTCTTCGAGTATCGTAGACTCAACTACTTTTCGCTGTAGAAAGGCGTTAGCAGATCGCCGACGAGGCATCCATCTCCTATCTAAGGCTCGTACCTTGTATCCAGGCGTTTCAATGCTCTCGATCGTGAAGATTCAGAAGAAGACGACCGTCATGGCCGTAGCATACGGCACAAGAACCTCCATCCCCATAGAGAATCCCCATCCAGCCGGCGGCATCGCTCTACCACTCCCATCCTCCTTACCACCTGACCCTCACCCATATCTTCCTACCGCTGCGTGTCCCATGCTAACACCATAACTACCCCGCTAGCGCATCCACAATACACACAGTACTCCTGCCACAAGCGCAAAAGGCCAACAGATCGAAGCGGCCGACGCGCGGGCGCAAAGGCACACGGATAGGGGCTCGCGCCGCTAGAGCGCTCGGGACCACAACTGACGCCGGTGTTCGCGGCCCGGGTGTGTGTAACGAGATGTATCGTGCCCCTGTGCGTGCGATGCGGGTACCACGCGCTGATGTGTATGTGGAAACAGGAAGCCCTGCCGCTGAGGAGACTGGAGGCCGAAGGGCACGGAGAGGTGTACGAGACCTTGACAGCGGAAAGCGGAAGCGGATAGAGCGGTGTACAGTACCGGTAAATGCAGACGACGGCCGATCGACTCGAGCGCCGACCAGCTCCCGACGAAACGTACTCTCCGAAAATTGACCGACCGACATCCTCATCCTCGTCGATGAGCATGAGCATAGGAAGATGAGATTCAATAAACATAGTAGATGTTGCATGTCTGACGCGGAGACGAGATGGGGGATCTACAGATGGCTCGCGCCGCATGTCCAATTTAGAAATACAACAATCGAGGAGATGCGAGATGGCCTAGCGCCGCGTTTCGCTTGAGATGGACAGTAAGATGCCAGATGCCATGCAAGGGGTAGGAGGTAAACAAGAACAACAGGTATGGCCAAGGATTTCATTGATCGGTCGCAACGCCCTATGCGCTCTCCTCGCGCGCCCGTTTCTGCCCCACCTGCGGCGGCTGCAACCCACCAACCCCCACGCCCGTAACACCCACAACCAGCCCCTTCAACCACCCGTTCTCCCTCCTCAGCCCCTCGCACTCCCTCTCGAGCTCGCCCACACGGCTCTCGAGCTCCGCCGCGCGCCGCTCGAGCGCGGCCTCGCGCTCCTTCTTCTTCGCGCGGAACCGGGCGGACGCGGCCGTGTTGCGCCTGCGCTTGTCCTCGGCCGGGCTGAGGTTCTTTCCGCCCGCGGACAGGTCCTCGTCGTCGAACTCTTCATCGGCGATCGATGCGCTGACCGACGCCTTGCGTGTGCGCGCCTTTTTCGCCGGGGGCGCGTTCGTAGTGGTAGCAGTAGCAGTAGTAGATGCAACAGCTGATGGCGGGGCGGGGAATGATGCAGCCTGGCCGTTGGACGGCGCACCGAGCGCAAGGATCTGCGCGAGGCTCTGCTGCGCGCTCGCGAGGTTCTGCGCCGGACTCTGGCTGTGCGCGTACGGCTCGCTCGCAAAGCTCGCCAACAAGCTCTGCAGATCGAACTCGCGGCCCTGCGTCGCGTTCTCGTGGCTCTCGAGCCGGGCGGGGCCGGCCGGCTCCTCGACCGCCGCGCCGTCGTCGCTCGAGAGGTCCTTGGTGTCTTTGCCGGGCGACGGGCGCGAGAGCGGCGCGAAGGGCTCGTCGGAGGAGAACGAGAGCTGCGACCAGAGCTCGAGCTGCGCGAGGTCCGGGTACGACGCGGGCAGCTGGAGCCCGTTCGAGCCGTCGAAGCCCTGCGGCGCGGGCTGCACCACGTTTAGGCCTTGCAAGTTCGGCGGCGCCATTTTGATATCGAGTGGTTGAGTTATTTGTGATTGGGAGTTGGTGGAGATGTGGGTATGGCGCGAGGGCCGGGGCGCGGATGAGCGAAGAGTGGTGAGCGCAGGAGGAAGAAGAGCGCGATAGAGATAAATGATCCACCTAGCCCGCCCTGGCAGATGCCGCGAAATGCCGAGACGTCCCGCGCTGAGCGCTTGATCTATAGAACGCGCTCACAGATCTTGAACCGCGTCCCTCTCGTCATCCTCGACGTCCATGGCGTTACCTCAAAGGACCATATATGCATAGCTGCTTGTCCCTGTGTGTTGAGGCAGTCGTACCTGCCGTTCAGGCTTGAGCGAGGTGTTGAGCTTGGAGGCTCGGGCGGTGTACGGACACCCCGGGACTATGCTGAGTCACTCCAGGCCCCATACGGCTCACGGCATCCCGCTCTCGTTCGGGACTTGGCCACTCCAGTTTCCCGCAGGCGCAAGGAGCCGTCCATACACGTCCAACATACGCGACGATCACATCGCCATGATAGACGTTTGACAGCCAACTCTCTATGGTAACAATGACAGCCGCTTCTTCCACCAAATACTTTGCTCTATGTGGCAGTCGCGCTTTGGCAACATGAGATGAAATGAAACGTGCGTGTTCGTGCCGGTGCCCACGTATGTTCTCCGAAGTACACACTGTCCACGCGCCCCGCCCAGTATAGGTGCCACTGGCGCGATTGATGGCTCGGATGGCGTCAGCGCTTGTGGGCGGATATGGGCGCAGATTACTGGACGGCCTCACGCGGTCGGCGGCCCGAGAGGTTTTCGAGGCTTCTTTGCAATGCTTTACTGTATGGGTTAAGCTTTAAATCCGATGTGAGAGGGTATAAGTTACTGAGAAGTATGTTTGGCAAGCTGGCGAGCTTGCGTAGGATATTGCTGACGTAGGCGAATTGTGAGTATCGTAACTTGAGTCTCGGTGAACGTATATCTCCCCGCGTCCCGCTTTTGGAGTCAGTCGCGGTCTTCTGAAAGCCCTCGGAATGCTCGGAACTGGCTCCATACCAGTCTCCTAACATAGAACATCTCATCGTCATGCAAACCACCTCTACGGGGATACCTATCCGTAAAACCAGATAAGATATTGATGTGTCTGGCATAGCGAAGCCCGCATAGTACAGTACGTAGTAGCAACGTCTCATAGATCAAACCTCGCCCCCAGCCCTCCTCCACGCCCTCCTTCAAAACCTCTCCACCTCCTCCCTCGCCCCCCTCCCAAAACCTCCACTCCACCCACACATCCTCCCCCATCTGCTCCTCCGTCCCCCTCAACCACTCCCCCATCTCCTCCCACAGCTCCCTCGAGCACGTACTCAGTCCCAGTGCCCAGCATCTCCCCCATCTTCCCAGCATACTCCTCCTCGTCCGCCAGATCGAGGGTTGAGGAGAGGGTCGAGGAGCAGGTCGTACAGCTGCCACTGTTCTGTGCCTTTGGGCTTGGGAGGAACACGATTTTGTAGGCGCCATTTCCCAGCCCATTACGTGGTCTTCCTCCTGTATGCGAGGCGAAGTGCCCAGAGCGAACGGGACGGGCGACGATCCGCGCATCGGGACGACTGACTCTGAGCGGCCGCGGTAGGACGGGTGCGCCGGCCATGTTCAACACACTCGGCATCGTCGCGAACTCGTCCGTGGTCCCTCGCCTCCCTCGCGCGACAAGTTCAAGGAGAGAGTGGATGCGCTTGAGAGGTGTGATGTGCTTGGGAGGTGTGATGTGCTTGGGAGGTGTGATGTGCTTGGGAGGTGACTTGGTGCGAGAAGGTGCGACCGGGGGAACTTGGCGAGGAACGGCACCCTCGGTCGTGTACGTCTTGTACGGCGGTGGCAGCGCGGGCCGTACCGGATGAAGGAGTCGGGCGCGCCGAGGAAGGCGAGGGCGCTGGTGTGGTGTTTGGGGAGGGGTGTAGGAGGGGGGGTTGGATTGTTGGGTTGGCCTGGGCGATCGACGTTAAATCAGATTAGATCAAGTTTAGATTAGATTGGTGATGGGGAGAGTGGGGCGGGGCGTACTTCGCAGACTGCGCCCTCTGCGCCGTTGTCGGACATGAAGTATATGAACGTGCTGTCGTATTCGCCTGAGCTTTTGAGGTGCTCGATGACCTTTCCGACGTCGATATCGATGCATTCGACCATCGCCGCGTAGACCTCCATCGCGCGACAAGACTTGGCTGCACAAGCCATCAGCCATAACCCACAAGCTCAGTCCATCGCAAGATAGATATGAGACACACTTCTCTCCTCGTCACTCAACTCCCCACACTCCCGAACCTCATCCGCAACGACCGGATGCGGCCTCACATCCTGCGGAATCATCCCAAGCTCCTTCAACCCCGCCAACCTCTTCTCCCTTATCACGCCGCGTCCGGGCCTTCGTCGTACACGCCCCTATACCGCTCAATAACCTCCTTCGGCGCCTGTAAAGGCCAGTGCGGCGCGGTGAATGGCACGTACGCGAAGAACGGCCGCGATTGGCGATCGGAGAGGTATTGGACCGTTTTGGGGCCGTAGCCGTTGGAGGAGTACCACCCCTCGGGGAGTTGGTTGATGTAGGCGCCGTCTTCGGAGTGCAGGGCTATGGAGGACGTGGACATGGTGGGCGGGGTCGTGTTGGGCTTTTCGAGCTGCGGTTCGAAGCCGTAGTGGTTTGAGCCTTCCAATCATGTCAGACATTGCGAACTGGGGAGGGAGAGCGAGGGAAAGCGTAAATACATGCAGGAAGATGCGCACAACTCCTCTCAAACCCCCGCACCTTCGGCGACCGCTCAGGCGTCAGCCCAAGGTGCCACTTGCCCGCCACAAGCGTCTCGTACCCCTCATCCCCCAATACCTCCGACACCGTGACAACGCGTTCATTCAGATACCCCTCGGAGCCCGGCATGGCCGTATCGAACCTCCCACCCTTCGTACCCGGTCGAGATCGGTTAGTCCGTTGCCGAGCCCGGCGATGTGGGTGTCCGTCCCGGACAGGAGCATGGCGCGGCGTGGAAGTCGGCGAAGCGCAGGGTGGTGGGGCCGGTTGAGGCGGTCGATGTGCGGCGTGTGGATTTCGGAGCCGGAGGGGCCGAGGTCGGAGAAGCTGAGGTCGTCGGCGAGTATTATGAGGAAGTTTGGGCGTTTGGCGGGGGAGGGGTGGGGAGGGGTTGGGCATTGTGGTTATGCGCGTGGAGGGCTGTGTGAAGAGTAGCCTGGCTCGGATGTAGCCCGATTGTGTCGTTTATAGAGAGCTGTAAGCGTCGGACGCGTATCCCGACGTCCGCTGTCGTCGAAGGATCCTTGTAGATCTGGGGCATGCGCTATCCCGTCGATGAACGCATCCCGGATGGCATGCGATGGTCCTATCAGGTCCTGAGAGTAGATTGCCTGCATTCGTAGTGCTATGCAGCTGTCCCGACGTCGAGTACGTCATCCCGCGCAGGATACGGCTGTCCTCCTGGAGCAGTGTGTTTCTAGTGAACATCTTGCAAGAAGATAACGGGCCGGCAGTCCCACTCTCAGCGGAATGGAAGCGAGGCAGAGAGTAGAGCCACCGCTCGTGTGATTCTGGAAGCGTGGTCGAAGCCGCATATTGCCTACGGGCATGTACGGGATGGTGTACAGATCACTATACCGGAGTAGACGGCAGGCAAGTTGTGGCATTCACGTTTGATCATGGAGGTTCGCGTCAAGGCGGTGAACATGGCGCGCCCTGGCTGGCTCTTAACCACCACCATGGCCTTATGCCCACAACCACTACATACCCAATCGCATTTTTGTTTGAATCATTTGTGTTCCCTCCGCCAACATGCAGTTAAGAAGGGAGTATGCCACAAAGCAAGCAGCGCCGTATGTATTATGGCCTGAAGTCTGTCTACCTTCCTAACGACACTACTCACCGTCCCCGCCGCCGCTCCACACTGCGTCCTCGGCAACATGCGATCCAGACGCACATCCA